CCCTCATCTCTCTCTCTGTGTCTCTGTTTGTCTCTCTCTCTCCGTGTCTGTCTCTGTTAGTCTCTCTCTCTCTTTCTCCCTGGTCTCTCTCTCTCTGTGTTGCTGTCTATGTCTGTCTGTCTCTCCACTCTCTCTCTGTCTCTTTCTCCGTCTCTCTCTTTCTCTCTGTCTCTCTTTCACCTTCATCTTTCTCTCTGACTCTCTGTCTCTGTCTCTGTCTGTCTCTCTCTCCACTTTGTCTCTCTCTTTCTCCCTGCTTTCTCTCTCTCTCTGACTCTGTCTCTGTGTATCTCTCTCTCTGTGTCTCTGTCTGTTGTATGTTTCTCTGTCTGTCTCTCTCTGTGTCTCTGTCTCTCTCTATCTATCTGTCTCTCTCTCTGTTTCTGTGTCTTCCTTCTTAGCTGTCATGACATGAGGTGCTCCACCCATCTCCACCATGATGAACTAAAGCCTCTGAAGCCGTGAGCCAAATAAATCTTTTCTCCCTTAAACTATTTATCTCATCAGATGTTTTGTCACAGTGAGGAAAGGGCACACAGTGGATATAAATAGGAAAATGTTCACATGGTAGTGACAAAGTCAAACACCTCAGAAATTACATTAAACATAAGTGGGCTACATATCCTAAGCAAAAGACTAAGGCAGCTGAATGAAAACAGAGAGCAATGAAGCTGTACTGCTACGAGAGACTGACTTACCTACAAGGACTCAGAGGTTGAAAGGAACAGGAACACGCATCCCACGTGGGCCAGACATGTGGTCCTAACATCACGTCAGCCTTGATGGCTTATGAGAACGATTCCCAGGACCCACAAAAGCTAGTCCACAAAGCAGAAGGTTATGGACTAAAATCGCAAATAGAAAAGACCCACTGGGTGCCAGTGGCTCACGCCTGTAATCCCAGCTACTCAGGAGGCAGAGATCAGGAGGATCGCAGCTCAAAGCCAGCCTGGGTAAACAGTTACATGAGACCCTATCTTGAAAATACCCAACACAAAAAAGGGCTGGTGGAGTGGCCATGAGTTCAAGCCTCCACACTGGAAAAAAAAAAAGACCCCAGAATGAAGACCAGGAAGAATCAGCCACAGCCTCCCAGGCATGTGTGTCCCCTCCCCATGAAGCATGCTTAATTATCCTAGCAATGAGGTGTGACAACACAGGCTGAGTGTTGCCAGTTGTGGAAGCTCCCCTGGGCCTTGGCATCCAAGTTTTGGGGGGCTTCATAGGTGGACACCATGTGTGTGACTAACCTCCCCTGCTCCCTGTCCAGCTTCCAAGAGCTCGGTGTGAGGTAGCATAGCCAAAGGTCACATTCTTGCCCACAACAGCCACCTCCAACAAAAGAAACTTCTTTCCTCATGGTGCCGCAGGTTGGGTGTTGGCAGCTTTGGTCCCCAAGGCCTCTCTCCTTGGCTTGTGCATCGTCTTCCTGTTGGTGCACATTTTGCATCACTGGGTCTGAATTTCTTCTTCTTGCAAAGAAACTCACCAGACTGGGTCAGGCCCACCCTTTTGGACTCATTTTACCTCATTGAGTCATCTCAATGCCCCAAATGCATGCACTTTCTGAGGCCCTGGGGTTGGGATTTCAACATGGGAGTTTGCAGGGTGCAGATGATGGAGCACAGCCTAAAGCCGAGGCAGGCAGAAACCATGGGGTCATTGGTTGACCCAAGGGCCAGCTATCCAGGGCTAGTTCTGTCCTCAGAGGTGCAGGTTGGACACCAGGTGAGTGCTAGTCAAAGGAAGCAGGTAAAATAAGCCTAAAAAGCAAGGATAAGAAGAAAGGGGACTTGGCTTTGCAATAAAAGGGTGAGCTCACCAGAAATACACAGATAGACAGATAGATGATAGAGAGATAGATGATAGATAGATAGATAGATGATAGATGATAGATAATAAAGGATAGAAAGATTATAGATTCATTGACTGATACATAGATGATAGATGATAGGTCGGTTGATGATAGATGATAGATTGTATGAGCTTAATAACATCACTTCATAAATAAAGTAAAAATCAGCAATGCTAAAAAAAAAAGGTACAAAATTTGGTAATCATAGTGGGTTGCTTTCACCTACCTCTTCCTTTTGGCGGGACTGGGGTTTGAACTCATGTACTGTCATTTGATTTTTACAGTGACCTCAGGGCTGGGTGCTGCACCTATGCCCACCGCAGAGAAGCAAAACCTGAGACTTGCAGAGGT